TAAATAAATAAATAAATAAATGACCGACAATGGCCGTAAATGTCTATGATTTCGTAGTAGTTTACATGAAATCCGGTGCTCCAATCGACAGGCTATTGCAGACCAAGTAGAGGCTGCGTCCATCGCCGCACGCGACTGAGCGAAAAATCACGGTTGTCTTGACCGTCTCCCTATACACCATCTGTGCGCCAGCGGCAAAGTCTCAAGACGGAATCTTCCCGTCTCCGACTTCGTGGAGTTTACGCTCTCCTGAAAACGGTGCACGCAAAGTGGACATGTGCTAGTGCCAACAACCAGTTTTGTGAAAACGACCCTTTTCGAATAGGCTTTGCTTCGATCCCCAAGCCGCCGTTAATACCTCTTGAACATTTTCTTAGGAACTCTGTTGGGAGCCATGCTTATTTTCTGGATCCTTTTTCCATTCAGATGCTCGCTGCTAACAACTGCAAGAAGCAGCACAACGGAGCTCTCGCCACAGTTGAGAGCCGTGACAAGTCGATGTTCCTGAGTACATGTAAGTTACTAAGAGCTCAATGACATGAAGCAAGAATATCCAACATTTCAAAGAGGTTCAGTGGTCGAAAATAGTCGTTAGTGGTATGGTTACGAGATAGGAAAGCCTCCATTCGGAGGTGCCACAGAAAGCCTATGGTTTGATGAGAATAGCTTTATGCACAGTTTGTCATGGAGAATCATCAGCCAATGTTTCGACTCCTTTTTCAGCTCTATTTTGCAACATCCAAAAAAACTATATTGTTTAGTTCGCTACGGAAGTTGGGACGTGTCAGGAAGGAGCTGGGGCTTGGTTTGGCGGGGCGCTAGCCTGTTCTTCACTAATTGTTGAAAAAGACAAGCGAAAATAGCTGGTGGAAACAGCGACAATAGCTGGTTGAAAAGGCAGGCTAGCGACGCGCCAAACCGAGCACTCTCCGTCTTCTTGTGACGCCCCAGCATTCGCAGCGAACGAGGCTGAAGTGATGCACACCTAGCATGCCCCCAGACAACGTTCAAGTCGCTCCCAGGTCATTCGTAATCATATTCAGACACAGTAAGAGAAATTCTGTATGCCCAAACAGTTTACCAAAAATCGAGCATCTATGGTTCACCTTTGAAAATGGCTGCTCTTTGCGCAATAGAGCTTGTGGAGGTATTCTCAACCAAAATTCATTCCCGAATTCTAGTGTTCCCGTCGAAAACCAAGTTCTGGATTGGTCTTCAGCGCCAGTCTAATGGTGTGTTTGCGTGGCCTGATGGCACCGTGGTAGGTTGACCTGTTCTTCGCTGGTGACAATTGCCAGACTGGCACTATGAATTAATTTGCAACCAAAAACAAGTCACACTATTTCCAGCTTCAGTGGAACGATTATCAAATGTGGGCTCCAGGATATCCGATTGCAAATGCAGGTGACTGCGTCTACATGTACCAATATTCTGGCTTCAGGTACGGTGGAACATTTTGGGCCAACTTAGTTTGGGCTTCTCTGAACTACGTATTTTTTTATTTACAACTGCCAAATTGTTGGCGTTTCATACATAGTCTAGTTTGCTGCGGATGAAAGGGCGTGTCATACGGGAAGAGCTTAGCGCGGTGCCAAAACCCGCTCTCCACCAACCTTTGAAGCGAGCAAGTGACAGGACTGCATCCGTTCGTATCACTTGTTCAGTTTCTGCTGTTGTCGCATACCCCCTCCAATGGCTGGCAGAGGGCAGGAGTTTGGCGCTGTGGCCACTCATACTGCCCTGACGCAACTAGAGTCTCCGATTGTTTTTTTTTTCTGGAGAGGGGGGGGGGAGTCAGAACTTTAGTCTTGAAAGGAATGAATTCGAGAGGGAGTTCCTCAGTTGTACCTTGGGTGGAAATCATGTTAATGATGAATAGTTTCGCCGACAGGTTTGCGTTGATCACATAATCAAGCACCGGGTAAACCGAACATAACCCAATAAGCAGGTGAGCGGAGACTCATGGGCCACTCATTGACTGGCCGCCCCCCCCCCCCCCTCTCTTTCTCTGGGGAGGGCGCAACGATAGGAGCTTCCACTGATATCTTTATCTATCCAACGATCGCGAAATGTGTCTATCAAGACATCGTTCGTCATTGCTGTTACCTGAGACGTCGTTTTCTTGCTCCGCCCATCCCAAACCTTGAACGGTGCCCTTTAATGGTAGCTATTTCCCGTGGGAGAACATATCTCGTCGATGAGTACCGACAAGGAGTGCTCATCCACGGGATATGAGACGAATGAGTGCTGCGAGGCAACGAACTTCACAAGTAAAGGTTGGTTCCCCGCCCCACCCTTCCCCCCTCTCCCCATCACATCTCAGCTCTGTTCCCACCGTTTCACTGTCCATTAAGCTTAGGTGCAGAGCAACACGTTCCTTAGAATTACAAACAATTTAGCTGTTTGCAGCTCAATTACGTGTAGTACTGTGAGAGAAATTTTATATGTCTTAGCTTTGGCTGGTTCAACGATGATTGCTTCGATGATTTCGACTATGTCTGCCAGAGCGCTCCGTGCTGTGCTGATACATATTGCTCAACTTTGGCTTAAAAGAATAAAATTGTTAGACATTTATATTACATATGTTCAAAGAAAAGCATTCATATGTCATCAATTGTCAGAACGTGAGCTCAGCAACATTATCTTTCATAAGAATAGGGAGAGGCCTTAGCTAGCTGTCCTGGCCATTTCTTGACGTGGCACGATTGAACAAGAAGCCGTCCCTCGAAAGTGGGCGGGGGCGGAGCTTTCGGGAGCGGAACCTGGATGGCCAGTCACCTCGCTAACGCTGGACGTTCTCGGATAAGAGGCCTTTTATCAGTGCTCGTGGAACAGCTCCACCATCTGAGACATCACGTCTCTGAATGGTGTCAGTTAGCACATCCAAATCGCGACAGTACAGACTAACGGAGGATCTTCTTGCTAGCTGACTCCTTCTTGTTAATCAACAAGATCCAGCAGCTACGCGTAACATTACTTGGGTCCTCGCGCCGCTTGGAATGGCGCTTGTGGAGGATAAAAAAAAGGCCAGTTCGATTTGGCTGGGTCATTTTGTTGTTTCCATCGACCACGCTTATGACTCCTGCGGAGAGCTGTGAATCTCTGTAAGAAGGTGCAACAACATGAGCCTCGCTGACACTTGATAAGAGTCTCACCGTAAAGAAATATGTAATCTAGCAGGAACTACTAAAAGAAACTAACCAAAGTGAAAAGTGCCCCCCCCCCAGCCGAGCAGCGCCAGACACTTAGCGACAGCGCCACACAGTCCTCTTCACACTTAACGCACGACACGCAGTTGTTGTCTGGTGGAGCGAGGGGTATAAATCCAAAGTATATGCCCATTTTTTCTGACCGCGCTTTCGCTTATGAGTGAATCTGCTGTCTTCTATTTTTTTCTCCAGGAGCACAAACAGTTTAAAAAAAATCCATCTTGCAAGGTCAGGAGCATTCACTCCAACGATATAGTTGCATTGGTGCAATAGTTCCTTGGTAGGGTATGTTTCCCGAATCTCAGTTCCACACAAGAGGACTCGAAGGCTACTTCCTGTCATAAGCGTCGTTTCTGTGGGTCTTTCTAGCGTTTTTGGTTTTTTTTTTCATGTTGCATGGTGTTCAGCATGCGAAGAAACAGTTAATGAGGCAGAGACGGCAGGATATCGTTTTCTGGGATGGAATAAGCAGATTCGAAAAGCTCGCGCGGTACGGCTGCCAGGGGGTTTTTACATAGAGTGTTTCCGGAGGTTTTTGCTTTTCTCCTTCCTGATCGTGACTTAACGACCATGAGTTCGTAGCCGGACGCCTCCAAATTAGAGATTCTGAACGAAACAAATTATTCCTTACTGGGTCGTAATCATTGTATCATAGGAAGAGCGACCCTGTGGCGTTTTCACACAAGACCACGGCCATCCATCTGTCGGCGTAATGTCCGCAGGTTCTACCTCCGGTCAGGCCTGGTCGCTACAAAAGTAGCCGGAACGTCGATGGTGCCACTTCTGGATTGCAGGGCTCATCGACTCTTGCGGTTCAGCGGTCGCTGGAGGAGACCTCTTGATGGTAAGATTCGGCTATTTTGGAAAACTTTCTGATTATTTATGTTTCTAACGTTTGATTTGCTTTATACTTCTTGAGATGATTTGATAGGTGTTTGTCGTGACTATAACGAATACAGCGTTGCTGATCTGTATGTATTTATTTTGGCGCAGTTCGCCGACTGAGGGGCATTTTGCGCTTTTGCCATTTCCCATGGACGTATCGAGCTATTTCATGAGCTCACAAGAATTGACAGGTTTTACCATATGGCTTGAAGAGCCTTGCTCCAGCTTCACAGGAGTTCACAGGTTTCACCAGAGTGAGACTTGTAAACTGGAACTAGTGAAGCAGAGGGAGTGCAAAATGCCCCGCCGTCGCCAAATTGAGCTCTTTTTTTATTTCAATCGTCCAGCCGTTAATGCAAACTTGTGGTTTAGGTATCTTTTCTTAAGGATCCACGGGGTCGTTTTCCATTACGAGTCGTGGAGACAATTGGAGCTGCGTGGAGTATGTTCAAAGACTCAAGTGAGTCATCTGATGATGAGGTTTGTACTTGTTTTCTATAACTCATGAGGAAAATTTTTGGATTACGCTTGTTTTAAGATTAATTGTTGTGATTATTACCGTAGGTGCTATTTCAGTCAGAGTGATTATATAGCGTAAGTATTGGTGTAATAGTTCTTCACCCGAATGTTCAGCATTATTGGAATCTTGGGCATTATTCCGCTGGATGGGGCATTTTGCACTTTCGCTACTTCATTTTGTCAGTTCGTGTCAACTAAGGGATTTAAGTGGGGTCAGACCTGTTAACTGTTGTGAAGGTGGGCCCGAGTTCCACTCGATACCCCACCTATCTGAACTGTGCTAAGAGGACAGGCCATGTACACATCGGCATTTTTACCCTTCCACACGAGTCCGGCCCGAGTAAGGTGTCAATGATCCCAGAGGGGTAGCAGACTTGGCGAACCTGGATCCCAAAACGGGTTTTGAGGGTTTTGACCCGTTTCTGAGACGTCGTCTTTATTACCTGCGCGCGGTAATAAAGACACTTGCCATGCACCATTTTCTACCAATAGAAAGTTGTGTTCTTGGGATCACAGGCGCCACACTCTGCAGTAGCTCATTGGGAAGCTATATCTTATCGGTTTTCTTCGAGGACATCAACCAACAAAATCGCTCTCCTCACTCCCGGTTCGTGTTCTTCCTTTGCTGCGGTACTTTTTTCCCATATTTTTTATATCTTTAATGTTTTCTTTTCAGTTGGAAGATGACATGACGCGTGAAGAGATGCTGACACGAGTTCTCGATCTGGCATTGCGGAAACGACGTGGTCAAAGTCGACGTAAGAGGAGCAGTAATCTTCGAAAAGATATCCTCCAGACTCGCCTTATTCGCTTTCTTTCTTGTGATATCAAGAAGATCCTTATGATCAGAGAGAAGCGACGCTCCCTTGCTCAAGGGTACCTCAAGGGCTTGTAAGCAGGGCTCACCACAGGCAGTGTAGAACGCAGCCAGAAATCGTATTCTTTTGGCGCTGAAGAGAAAGCTGTCGTGAATTTGCTCTGAGAAATGTTCCTGTCTTGATGTTGATTTTTCCAGCTTTCATGGAGCGCTATGTAAGCGCGTCCCTCCTATGCCCAGCTGCATCACGACAAAATTTTGGGCTAAGCTGGTAAGGCGTGTAGCGACTGTTAGAGAGGTTTAAAGCCCGATGGGCACAGGAAATTCAACGGTCGGCGCGCACAGGCGGCGCCGTGCCGGGCGATGTCGCTGCTTGCGGTGCGGCGAAAGACTGGAACCAGGGTACAGCATGGGGATGTGTCAAATGGCGGTGTGGGTACGACCCCCCCCCCCTCGAAGAGGGTCCAGATACGACCCCCCCCCCCTCCTGCTCTATTACTGACAACTCAGATGCATTTCACCGACAAATCCTTCTTGAAATGGAATCTGGATCTCCGAAAGGCAACTTCTGCTCTAAAATAGGAAATAAAGGGCTGTTTCAGCCTCATGCAATATGAGGCTGAACAACAGCCTCGCATTACCTACAATTTTGTCTTAGGATTCAAAATAAAACTCCTCGTTCGATAACTATGTATGACATGCAACTTGTAAAAGAAACACAATTGAAATAGCGGCTAATGGTGATCATTGATAGGCTGAATTGGTGAAAAAATAGCCCCAAGGTGAGCGTGTCAGGGCCCAGATGTGCATTCAATGAATGGTGACGGGGAAATAATGAAAACATGCACGACACAACAAAGCGAAACATGGAAAATACAAAAAATGCAGAGCTAAATGAAAAAAAGGATAACCAGGCCGGCAGTAAATCGTTCCATACTTGGCTATTATCGATCAGGCTGCAGGGCGCAAGGCTGCGACCGCTTTCTTTGGAAAAACGTCATTGGAGCGCGCGTTGTTGGACTTGCCAACGTCCTGGGGTCTGTTCGGGGGGTTATATCTTTTTTAGGTGCGGAGCTTTTGAGGAATGGTGAGCAGCATGCAACGGCAAAGTTTCTACTGTTGTGTATTCTACCTAGTTGCAAACTGAACAATCCCCCGTTGGTGAAATATTCCGGATGGGTTTTTTTTTTTGTTTTCGTATAGGCTAGGGTACAATGCGCTGAGCCTGGTTTCCATGCTTCACGCGAGGATTGCTTCGTTCGAAACGAAATTTCATCAGGATTAAAAACGTCCTGAAACCCCTCCATCCTTTCTCTTTCCAACAAGCTTCACGGTTTTTCTGAAGACCCACTAGTTCAGGAGATATTTTAGATGGGTTACCCTTGCGCTACCCCTGGACCACCCGAAAAATTGACTCCTTATGTGCCATTGTGAGGATACACCTTTCAGTGTGCCTCCAAAATACATATTTCCCTTCAAAATGAGTGGAAAGAGAAGCTCGGCTATCACTAATCGGTTTGGTCCGTGCGCCGTGCATTAGGCTCCTACGCAGAGGTGGTGGAAAGGTGTAAATTCTAATTTCAGGTGCTTTTATCCATGCAAGCAGATGTTTGTTTAGGGTTTGTAAAGGACAACACGCACGAATCTGTTTGAGACGTATTATTTAGTCATCTACGTACTTACGAGTTCATGCTATAAACTGACACTTATTTATTTATTTATTCTTGCTATATTGCTAATAAATCTTTTATTATTTTGTATTCCTATTTACATCCGGGTCTTCTGAAGCTTTCCGTCCGTTCCATTACCCTTAGCAATGACACCTTTGTACTGTTTGTGGGGCTAGGCGAGGCGCTATCTTTTGCGAATACTCCCCCACGTCCCCTCGCGGCCAAGTTAGCGACCCATTCTTGGGATTGTCCCATGACGAGGCTGTTAAAAGATACTTTAAAAAGCTGTAAAGAATACACTCATAATAAACTTCATTTTTAAACATCTTGACTTCCATAGCTCCACTCCCACTATCAACTGAAATGTCGAAGCCATTGCTCGGCTCTGAGTGACCCTTGAGATTACGACCCCCCCTCCCCAGCGGCCAAGTACGACCCCGCTGACTGTGGGTGGGATGTGGGTCCGCACAAACGATGCTGTACCTGGCTGGACACTGAAGGCGCGCCGTCAGAACCGTCAGATCCGGTAAAGCAGCTGTTAAGCACCGGTTCCCCTTCAATCGGGAGCGCGGAGCGCGCAGTGGTAAATATAACGCGTTAAATCACCGGTTGAGATCAAAACAGCATCTTTCTTTCGCGATTCACCGGGAAAGTGACACAAAGTTCATTGCCCCTAGGACTACACTGCTACACAGTTTATCACTGTGGCAGCAGTAAGTACTCGACGCATACGCTCGCCAATTAGTTTCCCCGCGGGGCTTCATACCAGAGGAGGAAAGTCGTGGGGGTCGTATTGAGCGAAAATTTCCCATATGGTGGTGGGCCCTGATTGCGAACCTTCGAGACCCCATCATAATGAACTCGTATTTTACAGTTTTTCGGAATATTTTGCATCTATTTTGTTTCCATTGTTTGATGTTTGTTATTTATGGCCATCCTATTGTTAACCTTATTATCGGAAACTAACATATTCTGTTTTGTTTGAATAAAGTTGCGCACTCGACTAATACGTCGAATTCCCTATGAAACACAGTTTTCAAGAAAAAAAAATTAGTAAAACTGCTCATCATACAGCGTGACCTGGGAGTTGGCTTTGAGAATTCCTTCGGTCAAATTTATTCCAGTTTTTCTTGTACGACGAAACACTTCGAAGATTCTATGTGAAAATGTTCGATTTTCACATAGAATCTTTCATGGTGCTCGATTCTTCCCCGGGTCTACAAAATTAGATATGAGTAAACATCACCAGATATTGATTTATACAAGGGTATGGGCAAACGAGCTATCGCTATCGATAACTACCTACGCTCATATCCCGTAGATGGAGAAGGTGTGGCTGCGTGCGTGCTGCTTGTATGGTTCCGTTTTGGGACAGCTGTAGTCATTTCTTGGTTCAGGACAAAGGATAGGATGACAGTTGTCTCGAGTGGGAAATATTCCATGGGAAACGTATCTATGTTCAAATGAAGCATAGCCGTGCCCTCCCTATTTCCAGATATAAATTGTACATACACACCTCGCTGCAATCACTATAGGGTGACAAGAAATTACGTATACAATTCCTTGGAATCATGAATGTACGGTAGCCTTGGAAGAGGTACAAAAAACGTCCATTAACCACGGCCGCATTGGTTTGCAAGTCGTACGGCTGAGATTAGAGTGAGATTGAGAGAGTGACAGTTCAATCCTTTATATAAAAAACGCATTGTATACACCATGTTCACGGTAATTATGACTGGGTGGCGTCAACAGACAGCCGTTCCCAATCTTAATTGCACCTAGAGTGGGCATCTGTGCAAGAAAGAAGAGCTCTGGTTGCTCCAAGGGGCATGTACAAGCTTCACTGGCACCATTTTATAGATTCACTATTTCGCAAATCTCGATGACTACGGGAACTGGTAGGGGAATGAGTCCGCTCCACGCTCATTTGATGTTCAGACGCTTTCTTTGGGGCAAGATGGTCCAGTCCGCAAGCAAGAGAGGTGTACCACTTAGTCCAGGAAATACGTTAGGAAAGCCACCGCTTTGAACACTGGCCACCGCAGCGCCCAACCTTCATTCCTAAAGACTACCTTATGGTACGGTTTCCGTTGTTTCGCTGCTAGCATTTAGAATGGTGAGAGTGAGGTGATAAGGGAAAGAGCACGATAACAGCAAGCGAGAACTCGTCCGACTCCGCCCTCCCTGTGCCTTGTGCAGATAAGTCGGATCAGCATGGAAATCTAGATGGGCATCTCGGATGATTTTTTCTGCTTTAGTCTTCACTACTAACTCACCTACCACCTTGTCCTTAGTATTTGAGCCGCAAAAGTCCATTTCTGAACGCAGAGACAATTCCTGCGATCAAGTGTCACGGGTTAGTGGGTGTTCAATAACGAAACAGTAAGCGATAAGTGACTCACCAATAGAGAAGGAACGGCAAACGAAACTTTGAGATTACACTAGCTAAAACCCCTCTCTGACAGTCACACAGCCTCATCGTACGAGTCCTCCGTCTGTTGACCACTAGACACCATGTGAACTGTGCAACCTCTGGCTCACATATGGTTTCTCAAAATCTCCAACTTCTGTGGTTACTCATGAGAACAACGAAATGCTGACTAATAGCATCCAGAATTTTGTGCACGAAACTGGTAGTACCGTAAGATTTGTGCGACGAGCTTTTTACACCAGATTGTTTGCATACTGCTGGATTGGAACGGGGAGAAAACGCAACTTGCCGTGCGAAGCGGACTGCTAGTGCTGGTTCGCTTTCAGAGACATCCAGGGAGAAAGAGTACGCTTAACTCACAATGGGCGAAAAGCTAAGATTTTAAGCGACATGCTTATAAAAGCGTCATACGACGCTACAGGCAACGGAGTGACTACGCGTGATTTACTGTGAAAGTCGTTGCCTTGTAGACGGAAAACAACAAGCAAATCACTGCGTGCTGGCGCCGCTTTTTGATTCTCAACCGTTATAGTGACGAAAGTGGTCAAGTCGTGGGATGTCAAGTCAGCTAAGGTTCCAAACTTAAGAATCTCCCGATGGTTAATCTCGTAGATTAAACACCTGTACTGGTCACTCTAAGCCACCGCACTCCTGACACGTCTAAATTCTACTGTCTGAGCCTACGCCAAAGCACAACCAGTTCTTAAAGTCATTCTGAAAACGAAACTTCCAAAAGTTGTTGTTTGTCTTGGCACGCTCAAAGAACGTGCGGTTACGGTAGGTCCATAAGTCTTCATCGCAACCAGTTGTCGCCGGCTTCCGATTGGTCGACGTCTTTTTTTTGGTCAGTTTACGAGAAGTGTGCAGGAACGGACTGTAAAGCCAATCCGCCTGTGGATCTTTATATAACATCACTATATAATTGATAATCCAACTGGCTTTTTAGTTAGATGGACAACTGAGCGAAGATAAACGTT